TTTAGTGGATTACATTTGGTGGAAGTTGCTGATAATTTAAATTTGCTGTGTCCTAGGGAACACTTTTTCAAACAATCCATGTTGATGATTCTGTGTGGACTATCGAGGATGGCTGTCTATTAGACATTGTCCTCAGTAAGAGTAATACTTTCAAACAAGATGAAATATGGGAGTCGCTCATGGAGGACGGAAGTTATAAGCCAGATCCCCTTGTGTTTCATGAAATGCGAAAGAAGCTAGATCTTGAAAGATTTCAGCTTGAGGTAAGGCATTCTTTTGTTCTAAATAGCTTTATGTAGAGTCAAAGAATATAGAATTGTCTGTCGTTTTTCAGAACCCGGGATTTGATTTCAGTCAAGCTAAGCTGCAGAAGTGCTATGACAAACCTCCAGTATAATTTAAATAAGAAGTTCTTTAGTCATTACTTCATCATTCCTTTTAGGAATTTCAAGTTTGCGTACTTGCTTTGTTTGTTTCCTGATAAATTAGCTGCTGTCTAGATACTCGAGTATTGCTTATGGAAAACAACAAGCTATTATTTCACATACTTCTGATGTTTATATTTCAACTTATATACTAGACAATTATTTTGATTTAATATCATACAGTGGAAAAATTATAAATTATTTCAGAGAATTCTTAGCGTACTGTGACTGCTTTCCTGTATTCCCGAAATTGATCGAGATACTGTTGAATAGTGTCCAAGGGTTGATAAATATCTTGCATTCGGTTCTACACCAAACAAATAATAAAAAAATAGAGTTAGCAATCAATTTTTCGGTAGAAAAATGGGGAGCTGGTGTTAGACGACTCACCTGGAGGTAACTCGGAGGCTGGTTCGGAACACAGGTACCCAGGAAGCCCTGCATGAACTCCCTAAGCAGTTCCCAGCAGGCGGCAGGGACGAGGCAGGGTCTGTACTCGACTTCGACGAGCACGCCCTTGAAGTTGGCGTTCATGGTGACAGTGCCCAGCTTGACGAGAAAGTCGGCTACCTCGAAGCGGGGACCCTTGGCCTCCATCCGCGTTTGCTGTTTGCAGGTGTATACCGATCCCAATTTCTTCATCAGGTCCATGAAGAGCGGATCCGAGACGAGAGGCACTTGCTTCTGCCCCGACTCCAGGATGCTGAACACGGTGGCGGGCTGTTCGGAATTGTTGAGAAGGTGAACGGTTCGGGGAGGACCTGAAATCAGGCGGAAAGCAATGTTATGGACAATAGCTAACACGAGATTGGTTTTCTAGGCCCAACGAGAGGTCCGCACTAGCTTAAACACTTTCCGTGCGAGGTTCACCAGGGGGAGGCGCCTAAAAGTGTCCTACACTGTAAGCAAACTCCGCGGTAAAGAACGGGCACCCTTACGGAAAACCTTCATTTACCACGCGTTAAACGATGGACCATCTGATACAAACTGAACTGAATTTTTCCGTACTTATTTTAACAGAGCAGTGATTGCCATGAACCCACAAGCGATTCGATAGTGCATTTGCGACCATTTCACTCGAGAACAAAGTGAAAAATCTATGTTAATTTTCCATAACGAATCGGCGTGGACCGACAGTCGTAGTCGTCATGCACGCTGTCATGTGACCTCGGCCGAGGAGCTATATCGTGTGGTTGTCATCACGTCTTTCTACGCTCGCCCACAACCGAGCCCACAACCCTCACGCCTTTGTAAAGTCGGGGCTGAATTTCAAAAAACGATAATAACAAAATACGCGAGCACGCGCTACGCGCTATGCAAGCGGGGCGGGTGTGCAAGTTTGGCAGACATGCCGTGCCGCACACCGTGCGTGCGGCCGAGTTGCCTACTCGCAGGGGGGCCGGCGAGCGCCAGCCCCGCCGCCCACCTGGTTCAGACTAGGAGACACAACGCTGTCTTCAGCAGTCCAGTCCAGCAGCAGCAGCAGCAGGAGCAGCCTCGACAGACAGCCAGCTGCCCTAGATTCGAATTCCCCGCAAAGTGAGGCGAAACAAGACGGAAGGGAGAGAGGGGCGGGGGGAGAAAAAAAGGTCCCGCCTTGGCATGCGGGCGCAAGGACGCAGAGAGGGCCGGGCCCGGCGAGGAGCCCCACTAAATTAAACGCGCTCATCGCACTAATTAAAACGTTCCCCGCCGTGCTATCCGCCCCCACCGCCGCCCTTGCCGCGCCCTCTGGGCTCCACACAGCCCAGCTCGACCTCTAAGGCTCCGCGTTACTCCGAGCACAACTCTCTTCCAGGGGCATCCTCCGCGGTCCTCTAGAGAGATCCACGACGCTCCCCTCCCTTTCTTTTTCCCGGACCTCCCTGCAACCCCTCCGACGCCGCAGCACCCGGACCGTCCCGTCCGGTGAGTATGCAGGGCCGGCCGCCGCCGCGAGCCCCATTCTCTCACCCCCACTTCCCCACTGCTCTTATTCTCTCTTTTTTCCCATTATTTCCCCGCCTTTTTCACGCTGTTTACTTTGGCCAGCCCACCCCCTCCCCAACTTGCTCCTCCCCTGGCCCGTGTTTGCCTAAGGCGGGTTGGATGGAGCCGTGCAGGGCCGACACACGCGGCGAGTTAAAAACAAAACTGGAAGGGAATTACCGGACTAGAATAAATCCACGGGACGGGCACGGCCACCCCGCTGCGGCGGCGGGTACCCCGGGGGGGTCCACGGAGGATAAATCCAGGCCGCAAAGCAATGCTGATCGTAAAGGGCGTCTGTTTGTTTTTCTCACGCAATAACACACAGTACACTATCTATGAGCGACGGCATATTTTTCATGTCCTACGGGTCAATATTTTTGTTGATGTTGCTTTCGAACTGCCCGCCCCGCAAGACGCTTCAGTGAAACATTATAATTTTTATGTTTGTTTTGTTTTTGGCTTCGTTAAAGAAAAAAAAATAAAGACTTGAAAAAGACATTAAATTATTTCTATTCAGTATTTAATGCATCGTTAGCTATAAATGTAGAGGTCCCTTTCTTTTAACAAGTGTAGTGTGCCTCACAATGTACTAATTACGAGTGAGGTGAGAAGGAAGTGGGAGAGCCCATCTCATGGGGAACGAGGGGAAGCAAACGGGAGAGACAATATTATGGGGAATATGCAGGAGTGTAGCAGTGGCAAGAATAGAAGAGTGTTACTGTAATACTTCAGAAAACGTAGGTATTTCCGTTATTACCTACACTGTAAATCTGGGGTGTCCTGCCAAAGTGCGAACTAAGTCGCACGCAGAAACCAGGGTGAGTGACGTCAGTCGCACAAAGCTGCTGGGCACCCCAGATTGACAGTGTAAATGAAGTTACTTCGGGTTGCGTCAAGGTGAAGTGCGTCGAGGTGTCCTGGCTCCTGGCCCGGCCGCCGCCGGCCCGCTGCACCATCGTTACCCACCACCATGTATTATTAGCCCCATCCTCGCCTCTACTTCCGGTTCAGCTGCCGCACCCCGCCGCACCCCGCCGCACCTCACCCCGCCTCTGGCCCTCTCCAGCCAGACCCATCCTTTCCCTTCCCCCAGCTTTCCGCCGCCTTTTGAAAGGGCCTGCCGCGGCCTGGC